CCAATTCTAGTTGGATTTGGACTCGGTTTTGACCCAACCCGAGTTAAACCTCTCCAGGTACAATGAACATGGACATGTGACCTTTCATGTGGAAAGTGACTGTTCAGGTGAATGTTAATGGCTGGTTAATGGCCTTAACACCTGTTTAATGGTGTAGTAACACCTAAATGATTTTATTGCCCATTATCTCTGCCTTAAGTGGCAGATGTGACTTCTGGCTTCCCTCAAGATGTGAAAGTCCTATAAATAGGACTTAGAGGTGTAGAGAACATACACAACATTTCATGCAATCTGATACTCTCAAAGCCTCACGCATCATATCATAGTTCTCGGTTCTCGACTTCATTCTTGTTCGACTGGACTCTGAAGGCTGGTGTGCTACAGCTTCCGAGTGTTAAAGCCGTTGTATCTTTGGGGACATTACGCACTGACCCGTCAGCACTACACGGGGCGTATTTGTCTTGCGGATAGATTTCAATCGCCTCGGCTCAAATCTCTCCGTGTTCGAGTTGTATTTTAATTTTTTGTTTTAGTTCTTTTGTACGAACTGAACACTTCAATCAGTTCATAGGTTCCCGTTGTAATTTAAACACACATTATGTAACAATGTGTACCTGCTTGCAGAGCTACTTGAATAAATTAGGCATCATGAACTAGTTATGCTTAAAATTGTTCTTCTAAATTAGTTTCTTTTAATTTACTGCAAAATTTAACTGTCATAGAGCTTTAGCATGATTCAACCAGTGATGCCAAACCTGCTCTTGTATTTGTGATCTGCAAAGTAATTGGTTTTTCATTGGAGATTATGAATTAGCTTGATTAGAACTTCAATTGAATATGTGCATGTTCTTCACTTCATTTGTGGAGGTTAATAGCTTGATGATTTGGATTTGCTATTATAAATAACTTGAGTATTGACATATTACTGAGAATAGTTGGTAAGAGACTAAGACTATGTTTGGTAAAACTAGCTGATAAACTAGTTTATAGCTTATCAGTAATTTTATAGCTTATAGCTTATGACTTATAGT